GCAAAACCCCAGTTGTAAGACACCGATACTTTTTAAATGAAGAAAATTTTAACAAGGGCAATGATGGAAAAAGAGATGGAAAAGAAGGGAGAGAGAAAAGAGATTTCAGCAGAGTCAGAAGGATGTGACAACTGAAAACAGTATGGGGACAAGGGATAAGATAGAATTTCTAGCCTGAATAACAGTATATGGTTATGAACTCAGATTGAAAAGGAAGTAGGAAACTTAGTTTCAAACTTACTTTTTGGAAAGACAGAAAAACATCCAGGGGAGAGGAGGTAAGTCACTTTCTCCAAGAGATGCAAAAATCACATAGGGAGAACAGGGATCACCCACAACACAGGCAGAACTGGAAGCTTTGCTCTTCAGCACCAGACACGTGCCAGACTCTGGCCATTTTCCCTGGCTGCTGGCTTTGCACCAGCTGCTTCTACTTCTAAGGCACCTGCCTCTCCCTGCTCGTCTTCAGTTCACCCTTCCAGGTGCATTTTCTAGGAAGGCTCTCCTGACTGCCCAGTTTATTCGTTCTACTTCTTCTCTCCAGTGCCTTTGCCTTTTTCTGTGTCTTCCTCTGACTGAGGTGCTGGAAGGCGAGGGTTCTCTTCACCTTGACCTTTGAGTAATCTCTGAGGTTTTCGCTATGTCTAACTCTAAAGTATTTACTGACTGACTGATGCCTGTTGTTGCCCTGGGAAAGAACCACCCTGTCCTATTAAGTCACAGTTTCTTCCTTCTTAGGGCAGCGCAGTTAACAACCTCAAGACCAGGAAATCATCTTTCTCATCACATACCAGGCAGGGTATTATTCACAGTTTACTCACTGTACAGTTCTCTTGAAATAAAGCTAACAATTAGCTTTATGAGATTTACAAATTCCAATCAACTTTTTGACATGCCCACTCATGGTGGTAGTGGTGATGGGAAACGTTTCTTTGCGCCTTCTGCTTCCAAAATGCACAGGTGGTGGTAGATGGGTCAGAAGTTCTCTATGGGAGGGTCGCCGATGCTGTTCTCATGCTGGATTTCGGATCTATACGGTCTTTTTCTTGAACTGCCTTTCGCAGAATAATGATCTGACTTAAGTGTTAAAGGCTTGTATGTGAGGTGTTTGGCCTGGCGGTGAGGAGCTTGTCGATATTATTGGGGAAATTGCTAATGCATCTTTCGGCTCCTTTTGAATAAAGTAGTTTTGAGGTCCAGCCATCTGACAAATTCCATTTTATTTTCTTTTCCCATGGAGTACCCCTGACTGGGAAGGGCCTGTATTTTTCCCAAACGTTGGGAGACGTGGAGGTCTGTTTACAGGGGAAGCCCAATTCCCAAGAGGATTTCACCGGCGGGCCTGGGCTCTCTCTGTCGGGATTTCAAGGCTGCTCAGAGCCACTACTAGGAACCAGCCACACTTGGCCAGCGACACAAGCCTGGAGTTCCCTTCTTCCCGGGCAGTCCGGGCTCGGGGGAGGTGGGCGCGGCTAACGTGGAGACCCGGGTGGGGCGGGGGCGGAGCCGCGGCGGGGCGGGGCGGGGCGAGACGGGCCGCGGCCCGGGGGCGGGGCCAGGCGCGCGGCTCGCCCGGGCCTAGGCAGCCGCTGGGCTCCGCCTCGGCCGGCTACGCAGGCGGCGGGGCTGCGGCACGGGCCGGGCGGCACCATGGCGGCGGCGGCGCCTGCTGCTGCGGCGGCTCCTTTTGAGGCGCCGGCGGCGAATGCGACGGCAGAGCCCGAGGCCGGGGACGAGGACAGTCGCGACGTTCGAGTGCTGCAGAGCCTCCGGGGCAAGATCTGTAAGCGGGGGCCGGGCCGAGGGGACACTCCGGCGGCGACTGCCGCGGGGCTGAGGGGGCAGCGGGCTCGCGGGGGCGGCGGCACCGAGCGGCTCTGAGATCGCCGCGCCGAGACGGGCCCTGGGCTGGGGCTTGGGGCCTGGCGCCACCGTCCGCGCCGGGCACCGGTGAGGCTGGAAGGGGGGTGTGTGAGGGAGGCGTCGCCCGACGGGGCGGCGTGGGCTGGGGTGGCTCCTCTCGGGAGGGAGTGGACCGCGGGGGATTTGCCGCGGCGCCGGCGTGGGGGGCTCGGCCGTGGGGCGCGGCCTGGACGCGGGGACGCCGGAGCCCGGGACGCGGCCGGGGGCGTGGGCCGGGGGCGTGAGGAGCTTCCGGCCTCCGGGAGGCTGCGGGCGCCGGAGCGTCCCCGAGGTGAAGCCTGGCGGTAATTACGAGGAGGCGCGGCCGGAGGAGGCGGCGGCGGAGGGCAGGGACGTGGGACTGGCCTGAGGGGAGGGGGCTGCCTGTTTCCTGGGCTCCCGAGCCTGCGAGAGGTTGAAGAAGGCGCCTTGCGCTGGAGGAAGCAGGCCGCCCCGGGACCCGAGCAGCCGCCGCGCGGGGTGTCCCCGAGGGCCAGCGGGCGGGGCGCGGGGCCGGACACCTGTGCTCGCCCCACCTCGCTCGGCGGGGACTTGAATTGAGAGGCGGCGTGACTGACAGGGACTTCAGGCAGGATGTAGTGGCTTCCTGTGAGCAGGTCTCAAAACACAGTCATCCAATCTGCACTTAACCCACTTAATTCCTTTCCTTCTCAGGCATTTAATTGTTACTTTTGTGAGCGAGGCAAACCAGTTGACTACAAAATTTTGCTCAGAGTCGCCGAGCATTGCTGTTGACAGACCATTTGAGTTCAGTCATTTGGACACTTTAATTTTTTAAAGATGACCCTTTACTGTCAGATTGCCATTTTTTTTTTTTAACGGTAGTTTATTCAAACCAAGTGCCTTTTTTTTTTTTTTTCTATTTGTACGATGTCTCAATAAATCTTAGTTTTGCGTTTGTGGAAAATTATTTTCTTTTGTCAGTATACTTAGGTTGGAAACATGCTTTTTTTAGTAAAATCTCTTAGTTATGAGGGGTACTTTTCACTTTGAAGAAAATCGAATTGCAGTAAAATGGCTAATCATCCTTTTTCTTGGGCAGGATGTAAAAATTTCCTCTCCTTGAACAGTGATGTTATTAACTGATCTCAGATTCTCTCACTTTCCTCTTTTCGGGTTGTTTTTCCTTTCAAGTGTTTGGGGTTTTATTAAACCTCAGAAGCAAAAATTTTTATATATATATATATATTTTACCGTTTTGTTCCCTGAAGTAGTCTTGCGGCACTTAAGAGATGATGGTTTTTAAAACCTGGAGAATAATACCAGAGAAATAAATCTTAGTTGTCTGTGTCTTAGTTCCCTAACATCGAAGTTGCCTTCTAGGATTTAAAATCTTTTCAAAAATTAGGTTAAATCTTTAATATTTGCGTATATCTAATTTAATCTTTAAGGAAACAGTAAATGGATCAAAGTTCCCCCCTTAAGCTGCTTTTTCATATTTCTACCACTTTAAATTTTAGTGTTACTTGATGGTAGACACTGTTCATTGGAGCCTCAGTGATACAGAACTACAGGTTGTACTGTGGGACTGCATATACTCATATCTTGGAATTGATGGGTAGGGTTGGGCTGTTTCCAGAAGTATTTAATTGCCCTACACTTTTGCCTGCTTCCTGGAGCAGTTTTGTAAGAGGGTATCACTGTAAGTGGAACTTGGGTCTACAAATTTTAAAAAACAGCTTTGTTTCTAGCAGTGGTTCTCAACTGTCCTAGTGCTGCAATATATTTTCATTGTTACAAAGGGGTGGCGACCCACAGGTTGAGAACCGCTGATTTAGAGCAACCTCACTGCCCAGACTTGGAGATTGACCATCCATGCTGGGAATGATAGTAATGCTTTAACCATAGTCAAAGTATTACATCTGTTATCATAGTCAGTTTTTTGCTTTTTAAACTGTGTAGTTTATAGCTCAGATCATGGAGTGTGTGCTTCATAGGTAAAAATGTATTAGTATGCATATATACAGATAGCCTGTCCCCCATTTCTTTACCTTCCTTTTAACTGGTGTCATCCAGAGATAGTCGATGTTCAAAACCTTGTGAAGAGATGCTGTTTTCTGTTTTCCTGAAACTGACATGTGGGTTTTGTAGGGAGGTAGGCTGAGAGATTGGAAGTGTTACTAGCAGGTGCTAAAGTCACAGAAATGGGATGACAATGAAAATACTGAGTAGCTTGAGGGAGGGACTAACCGTGTCAGCTTTCTTCTTCACCACGCTGGGAAACCTTGGAAAGGCTGATAGTGTTCACTAGCCTGGCAATGTACTGGTGGATTCCAAAGTACTGATTGGGAGCCTTTGATCTGGAGAGTTAAGAGATCTGTAGGGCTGATAGTTAGCCTGAAAGGAAATGTTCTTATTTCTGGACTTGGGTGAGACTTTTCAATTCCAAATCATACCAGTGAAAAGTGAGGATGAATTGCATTCTTGTGTTTGGTTTTCCCATATACAAGGTTTACTGTAAGAGTGACATATTGAAAAACCATTTTTGTGGCCAATCAACTGACCTTAGCAAATTCACATAAGATAATATATTGTCTTATAGACTGATCCTCAATTCCTTGAGGGCATTTTAGTGCCCTAGGAAACCATAGCACTTCCAAATGCTCTGCTTCCCTAAATGTATTCAAAAGACAATTTGGTTGTTGGGTATCCCAGGGTCATCATATGAACCCTTGATAAAGAAAGTTAGGGATGTACTCTGGACTTCATTCTTTGGTCTGTGCAGTGAGTAGCTAGTAAGCTTGCACATACTCCTCGCTTCCCAAGAAAACCCAACATTTAAGAAAAAAGGGGATTAAGGCTTTCTTCTTTGTATATCTTTATACTTTATACTGCCTCCTATTTATTTACCACTTTTTAAGTTTGCTGTCACCCAATTAAATCAGATTGTAAAAATGTTGCTGAAAGCACTTATGTCACCTTATACATAGGCTTATCTACTCAAAGAATAGCAGATTAATATGAAAGCCAAATGTGGAAATTTTTGTGAATTTTTAGTTGACGGGTTCCAGAACTCACTTGGTTTCCCTTTTGTCTTCAGACCAAGACATATGGCTATTTGACAAAGTAGGAATGATCTATTTATTGAATATGGTTAAGTGTTTAAGTTTAGAGGCCTGGTGACTTACAGACCTGGACTTGAATCTTCATCTAATTTCTAACTTCTATTAACTCTTTGGGCCTTGGGCAGCACCTGTGGCTCAGTGGGTAGGGTGCCGGCCCCATATACCAAGGGTGGTGGGTTGGAACCCGGCCCTGGCCAAACTGCAACAAAAAATAGCTGGGCATTGTGGCGGGCGACTATAGTCCCACCTACTCAGGAAGCTGAGACAAGAGAATCGCCTAAGCCCAGGAGTTGGAGGTTGCTGTGAGCTGTGATGCTCTAGTACTCTACTGAGGGTGATAAAGTGAAACTGTCTCAAAAAAAAAAAAAAAAAAAAAAAACTCTTTGGGCCACCATATTCTCATATATTAAATGGGGATGGTAAAATGACCTCTCTCAAAAGATTCCTCTGAGGATTAAATAAGTCTCCCTTCCTATGATTTCCTCTCAACTCCCAAGAGCTAGGTCAGACATGGACCATCTCTTAGGATAGAGTGGAGTATGAGATAAAAATTCATCTGAGTCTGATGTTCTTGTTTAGCATGTCCTGGCATTTCATGGTGTACAAAGTTGATTAAAATTAGAGGACCTGTATTCTGCTTCTTACATTGTTAATTAGTAATCATGTAGCTAGGACAGCTTACTAACCTTAGCTTACCTTCCTCTTAAAAATAGGAATGATTTTTTTAAAATAGGAATAATGCTTTATCACTACCCATTGTATACATGCTGTTCCATCTGCCTGGGATTGACTTCCCCACCCCTCCTATGTCATATTTATGTCCTATTCGTCCTTCAAAAACTTGCTTTGTGTGATCTGCCCAAAGCTTTCTTTGGGGCACCTATACCCCCATCTCTGTTAAGAGGGTTTTAGGCCTTTCTACTGCTGGGGAATCACAATTCTTTTTCCATTTCTTTTCATAGCACATTTCACAGAAATTATTTATTTCTCCCGTTAGACTGTGAGCTCTTCCAAGGTAGAATTCATTGTTCATTTTTTAAAATCATCCCAGTGTTAGCAGAGTGCCTAGAATAGGCCTTTAGAAAATGACCCACCTCATAATGTTATCCTGAGAATGATTTGAGATACTAGATATGAAAGTGTTTTATAAATTGTATGGGAAACAAACTAAAAGATGTTAGTATTAATAAAAGAAACTACATGGGTCTGTGTCAGGAAGTTCATCCCTTTCAAAATTATAGTGCCTCACTAAGCTTAGGTCTGAACTTATGCCAAAGTAGCCTCATTAGGAAAAGGATTAATTTTTTCTAAATGCTCAGATTGCTTATTATTAGGCTGTTTGAATATTGTTACCTGTCTGTATTCATGAATGTTGTTACTAATTGGGCCTGGAGCCTGGAAAAGAATATCTCATAATCATACTTTACACATTGCTTTTATTTGGCATGGCATGTTTGAATTTTTAAGTAATACTGTAAAGTATAAATCAAAACATTTTATTAAACTACCCAATAGAGTTGAGAGGAAGAAATTTAAAAGGGTTTATTTATACTGAGAATTCATTTTTATCAGATATTTGAAATAAAGATGAGTTATTTAATAAATTAATAAAGCAAGAGATTTAAAAGGGTTTGTTCATGCTAAGAATTCATTATTGTCAGAAATTTGAAATAGAATGATGAGTTATTTAGGATGGAGGAAGAATCTATCTTTCAGAGGGATAGGAACTGGAGAGAAAGGGTTCTTTGTAAAAGTTCACAGAGCAGTCTGCTAATCATTTGCTGTGCGGAAGACA